GAATGCACAGAAGGTTCAGGGACAGCAGACTCCTGCCCTGTAGCAGTCCAAGCCGGAAGTAAAAAGAATCATCTTACTAACACTAAACTTAATAAACAGAATAAAACAAACTGTAGAAAAAGAAATAGAAAGGAGGCAAAAACTCCACAGAAGAAAAACACATGGTCCGCTTACCCCTCTTTTTCTTGATTTAGTTGCCGTAGCCTATTCAGTGGTGTGCGATCCAGAAGGCTGGACCGTCCTTGTACCTTAGGTTGGAAGTCCTCGTGCTGGTGTGTCGCGCGCCGCCGTCTGCTCTCCTGACGGGGGTCAGATTTCCGTGTTTATCTTCAGGCGTGTCTATCAGATTAAATTGGCAATAAAAGCGCCCGTATCTTGTGGTCTCTGTGGGTGTTACTCAATCAGGTGATAGACATTAGTTTTCTGCTTTCAGGTGGTCAGCGATGTAGTCGGAGGCAACTGGATGTGGCTGGGAGCAAAAACGGGCTGTCCTGGGGAATCAAGAGCAGAGAAATGTAACGTATGCAGGTCTGGTTTATGGTGTCGTCACGATCTAAGAGGTTTTCCGAGACTTTGGTTCTTTGTATCGGTTGTTGCTTTGCCCGTATATTTTATTTATGATTTTAAATCTTTATAGTGTTCTCTCGATTTTATTTATCAAAAGTATCCTATAATAAAGGTTACCTCCTAGCTTCCTTTAACAGTGTGGAGCAGTCCAACGTTTCATTGGCTACTTTCAGAAACACACTGCTTCTAAAACTCCCTCGATAATTTCCAGCTGCCGGTGTGTCATAGGTCAGATTCTGTAGTGAATTAAAAAAATAACATAGTGATATGTGTGATAATCTGTGTATGGAGCATGACATGGTGATGATGGTGACATACTATTTATGTCAGTACTTTAGCATAACCAAAAAGGGAACATCATAGCATGGCGTGACATGTAATAAAACAAAGTGTGACATTATACATGGTTCACTCTGAATGTTTAGGCATGTGTATATAGACACAAGTAACAATAATGCAATATAATGTATTGAAAAATACTTAATGTAATGTTATATAACATAATGCTAGAAGCTTACATGAAGTGACATAACATGGTCTAATTTGATCTAATAATAATATTGTGATATAATGTGTCAGTAATGCAGCATGATATGATATGATGTGACATAATTAATGTAACATAACAATACAATGGGACATTGTGCATGTCTACAGACCCACCTGAGAGGTGTTGTTTCTGGGAAGTCTGACCTCATGCAGGGCGTGGCTGTGTAAGACCCCTTCCACAAACTCCAGGTGGGAACCACTGAGTGTGATCTTCCTCTTCCCACTACAGGACACAGAGCAGCAGCCAATCAGAGAAGTGGAAATATAATACACATTTGATAGCAGAGAAAACATTTTCTTAATGGATTCATATTATTTGTTCACTATGTGAAGCTGTAATTATTGATACTGAGATTCAAATTCCTTAGTGAATAATCCAGAATATGACTGGAAATTATGCCTATATTATTGTTAGGCTAAATGTTCCAGGGAACATTGAAATATATTATACATATCAAAACCACCTCAGGAATGATTAGCCTCATGTGGCTGAATAGAAATGATGTAAAAAGTATTTCTGGTCTGTAAAATGGCGGCTCAGAACAACTTCCAGTTCAAGCAAGAATAGAACAAGAACCTTCACGTTTAAAAATAGTTAAATTAACCTTTTCTTGTGTTGGCTCAGAAACACTTTTATAAAGTTTTAAAATCTTTTACAAACAAATGTCCAGTTTTAATCATCAAACAGCTGGTTTGAACTAAAGTCACAGGTCTGACCGGGCAGATAACCACTCATAGTTTAGGATAATGGGGTGGCACCTTGTATGGCCAGTTTCAGGGATGGCCCACACCACCCCCTGGATACACCCCTGCTTTTTCCATCAAAAACTGTATTTGTTACTTTGTTTTGGGAAAAAATAAATGCCAACTTATCCAGTCCCTGATCCAGGGGTGCTGCTGGTGTGATGTTTTTGCAGGAAGGTAAAGGACCTGTAGGTGACTTATGAGCGTTGCTGTGGCAACTACCACTTGGGGGGACAACACATACTTTGACAACCTTTATTATCCGTCCTGGGAATGTGGAACGTCAGATCCACACCAGTGTTGCTCCACACAGGAGATCTGACCAAAGCACACAGGATGAAAGAGAGAGAGAAATCAGAACTGAAAGGAGCTTGAATTCCTCAATCACGAAAGCTAAAACAGAATCAGCTTCAATCTATTAAACGATGCAGACAAACAAAGGTGTATGCTTTTGACTTTAAAGAAAATGCCACACATTTGACATTTTAGGCTTTCCTAAATCTAAAAACTGGGCAGCTGACAAATCGGCCATTTTTCTATTGACAATGACTGCGTTTGGGTCCCTGTTCCAATCCAGTCTCCAGATTTAGGAAAGAGCAGTACATGAAGTACTGGACAGTTTATGTCAATTCATAATATGAGTGTAATTCCTAGTAATAATCTCCAACTCTGAAATGTCATTTATAGTGTAAGCAGATTCTTAGTCATCCTTAAACTGACTCACTCTTGTGGTGCGCAGTCCATGTCCGCCTGGATCCTCACTTTGGTCACGCCAGCGAGGTTACGACCAGACAACATCGCATAGTTTCTGCCGTAGAAGGACACGACACTGGGAGAGATTGAGAAGATCTCTGGTCTCTGACAGTAAAACACGCACAAAGATAATCAGTTTTAATGTATTAACTTCTACTGATGTTTTAATCTCTAATGAATGTAAATGAGGAGCATCAGAGGAAGAATATATGTGACAACTGAGGTTCAGACTCACAGAGAAGTTCATCCCCGACTCCTCCGTTTGGCAAACACTGTCCTGCAGGAGGAAGTGAGGTGAAGACATCAAGCAGGTTGACATTACATCCACTGTAAAAGTACTATGAAGAGTTGATACAGGACCTGTTTTGGCTAACATTAGCTTAACTACAAAAACTGGAAACTAGTCAGATAACTATAGTGCTGTCTTATTTACATGTTGTATGTGTTTGATTAACATATGCAGAAACAACAACAATCAGTTAGTTTAGCTACTGATCAGCTCTTGGTTGGGTGCAGTGGGGCCTGTAAAGCAGAAGCATGGGTTTCTTTTTGTAACTTTTGATGGAAGCTAGCTGTTTCGTCTTTGCTCTAAATACCGGCTTGATTAGTCTAAATAAGAGAATTTTATCATTAAAAAAATATAATTAGGGCCCAAGCACCAACCGATACAAAGACAAAGTCTGGAAAACCCTCTTAGATAAACACATAAACAGATGCATAGTTACATTTCTCTGTCCTTGATTCCCCCAGGAACAGCCGTTTTTGCTCCAGCCACATCCAGCCTCGATACATCGCTGACACCTGAAGAGAAAACTAATGTTATCACCTGTTGATAACAACCACAGAGACCACAACAAAATCATATCGACTTCAATGCTGTACACTACTTCCTTTCTATGAATTAAATTTCTTTGGGGCGGGGAGGCTTTGTCATTGCCTTATCATAATTGATTAGACTACCTGAAGATAAACAGGAAACGGGGTCAGAGAAGAGGGATGAAACAGGGTAACGCGACTCAACCTCCAGACAAGGACTTCCAGCCTGGTACACCAGCTGACAGCCACTGTTGAAGTAATGGGGAACTAAATGCGCAGAAGGGGGCGTAA